GGGGTGTGCAGGAAGTGGGGGAGGTGGGGACAGAAAGACCTAGCTGGCTGGGATTTGCCTCAGAGGCTCAGGCCTGGCTGGGATTCAGAAGTGATTCATTCTCACATGCATGATCTGGGGTCCTCTAAAGCTCTTGCCCCACATTTCTGCATCATTGGAGGACACCTGACCATCTCCCAGGCCTCTGTGGAAGCCTGTTCATCCTGCCTGGCAGCCCTCCACAGCAGGAACCTGATAACCCCAGGGTAGTTCTCAAAGTCATAGCCAAAGCCATCCCGGGCACACCACAGATCCTTTCCCTAACAACTTGGGAACATACAGTGCCAGTGTGGCCCCTCATCCCTCAGGCCTCTCAGGCAGGCATCAGGCCTCAGGTGGCTGGGTCCCACCACATTGCAGGGCTCATATTGTTACCGGACAGAACTGGGTCCAATTACTTAGTAGTTTCCAGCTAAAGTACAGCTCCAAGAAGATTTTATAAGGAACTTTATTATGAGCCAGCAAGCAAGGACACACCAAGAAGACGTCCCCAAAGCAGTGTGTCCCAGAACAAAGGACGGATTGATTCATCTTTATTCCGGGAAATCCTGCCTCAACACCAAGGTGAGCTTGGTCACACGTAGAGGTGGGGACATTCCTGCACATGCGCAATTAGAAGACGTGGCTCTACATCCCACGTTCAAAAATAGCAGGAAATCTCCGCCCCTTGGGGGAGATTTTAGTATTATAATGAGGGTATAAGGAGTTATGTTCGTGAGGAGGTAAGTAGAGGGTCTTCTAGGCTGCTTCCGATGGCCTCAGGCGATTTGAGATGGATCCGCCCCCTGGCCCTGCAAATCATGTTGAGCTTGTTCCTGAAAACCAGCCCTGGCAATGTCAAAGTCAGGGATGGCTCAGGGACCAGATGTGGCTACACAAACCTTATGCCATCTAGGGTGCTCTAAGTGGGTCTGCAGGTTAATCTAAGCTAAGTTATGAATTCTAAATAAAAGCATGCTGGGCTCCCCGCTAGGCTATATGTGTAGGTCAGGTTACAATGTGAGGTTCTCAAGGGAGGCGCCCACTCACAGCACCCTAAGCAATGCCCTCCCCAGTCTCTAACTCTCCAACAATACGCCCACCAATGGCCAAGGCGCCCAAAGTCACGTAACTCAGTCAACAACTACAGTCAGGGTGCACCTCAGCTGAAAGCTCCATTTCACCCCAAAACTCAAACACTCCATCGTGAGTGCCAAGCCTCAGGCCTGCCACTTTACACATAGCTTAACAAACCCCACAAAGTAGGTGCTGTCACCATCCCCCTTGGCAAGTGACAAAATGGAAGCTCAGAAAGCAACACCGCCATCCAAGGACACCCAGCTCACAGGGACAGGCCTAGGCCTCCCGGGTCTGTCAACCTTCAGAGCTCCACTCCTGAGGGCCTAAGGACCCAAACTGGCCTCCTCCTCTAGCAAGCACAGGCACAGCAACACACATCTTTTCTCCCCTCTTTCCCCCTTGTCTTTGGAGAGTTGCTGAGCCCCCTGGTGTTCCCTGGTGTTTCAGGAGTGCCCTGCAGTGTCTCATATATGCTCAAAGCAGGAATCAGTGGCACGAAGGGCCAGCAGAATGACCCCATTGGCAGACCAAGGAGCTTGAAATTTACCCTGAAGGCTGGTAGGGGCAGCGGGGGCTGGTCAGGGAAGTGCATTGAAGAGTTTAAGGGGGGATGTAATAGTTCATTTTATATGTCAACTTGATGGGGCTATGGGGTGCCCAGGTATTTGGTCAGTTTTCCAGGTGTGCGTGAGGGTGCTTCTCGGGGAGATTAACTTTTGAATCGATGGACTCAGTAGCAGAT